ATATATATATATATATCATCATATCGCCCAATCCTCAACTTACTCTATATTAAAGCACTACAGCATTATAAATATGACAGTATGATTTTCTGTAAAGCAGCTTTGAAACCATGTGTTTGAAAAGAGCTTTACAAATACATTGGACTCGATAATAACTTTGACACTGATATAGAGCTGCATTGAATCAACACTGTACTAGGGGGAATTATTGCTGTACAGCAGAATTAGGATTTGTCTGATGTTTGTTTATTAATGTGAAGCTGTTGTGACAGTCTGTTGTATGAAGCGCTGTTTGACAATGCGTCTGTGTTTGTAGGGAACATTAACATCTGTCTGATGGGAGATCCGGGTGTGGCCAAGTCTCAGCTGCTGTCCTACATTGACCGTCTCGCTCCTCGCAGTGAGTGTGGCCCGCAGCATCGCTCCTCCGTCCGCTAGCGTCCCGCGGCTAACTCTGGCGCTCTGTTGCAGGTCAGTACACGACAGGCCGCGGCTCATCCGGTGTGGGGTTGACGGCGGCGGTGATGCGTGACCCGGTCACGGGTGAGATGACGCTGGAGGGCGGCGCTCTGGTGCTGGCTGATCTGGGCGTGTGCTGCATCGACGAGTTCGATAAGATGGCCGACGCCGACCGCACGGCCATTCATGAGGTCATGGAGCAGCAGACCATCTCCATCGCCAAGGTACAGTGCAATCCGCTCGGGCTGGGCGACCTCTAGGGTTGGGTATCGCTCACATTTTAACCGGTACGGTACCTGAATTCCGGTGCCGGTACCCAACGGTAACTTTTTCCGGTACTTTACTCCGTGTAATTACAAAAACATTTATTTCAGTGAAAAAATAAGTCCAAAAGTCTCAATTTCAACATTTTGAACAACAGGGCCCTACAAACTTTTTCTTTTTCTTTCACTGCATTTTTTTTTCTACAATTGATTAATCTGGTTGTAATGTTTATTTTTTTATCGTTTAATTGTTTTATTTAAATTTGATAGAAAATTGAATATTCAAAGACCTATTGTACAAGAGTAATATATTTCTGTTACATGTTAAACCGCACTTTTATTTTGACAGGTTGCCATGAAGTTTCTGCGTGTATACAGTATGATGATGCTAGTTTTCTCATGAAACGGTCAAATTCTCGTGAAGTGACTCTCACAGCAGCTCTGGAGATTAAGTCTTTGTTCATGCCGTCACATAGTGAGACGCTGAGGCTGAAAATCACCGCGAGCGTCATGCGTGCTTCAGTATTTCTGTAGTAAACAAAACCGCGTTTGATTCATTCAAAATTGACTAATTCTGTGGCATTCCGTGCTATAGAGTAAATTAAGTTTTTATGAATGGACTCCGTGATCCTGTCCGTGTTTTCTCAGAAACCGTATGGCTTTAGAAATGTAACCACACTTCAGAACATTTCGGCTTGCCCTGTGTGTTGTCTGAACGAGTTGCAGGGGTGACCTCACGTCACAGGATCTCTCTTTCTCTCTCTGTAGCGTATGCGCCCAGATGCGTTCTCAGCTACCGAAATCTGGCACTGATTGATTTAATGTGAATCGGTACTCTGTAGTACCGACGCAATTCGGTCGGTAGCCTTAAAAGTACCGAATTCGATACCCAACCCTAGCAACCTTTGACCCCATCATCACGTGTTTGTGTGGTTTTTGTCTCAGGCCGGCATCATGACGTCTCTGAATGCACGCTGCTCGATCCTGGCGGCGGCGAACCCGGCGTACGGCCGCTACAACCCTCGCAAAACCCTCGAGCAGAACATCCAGCTGCCGGCGGCGCTGCTGTCGCGCTTCGACCTGCTGTGGCTCATTCAGGACAAACCCGATGCAGACAACGACCTGCGTCTGGCTCAGCACATCACATACGTGCACCAGCACTGCAAGCAGCCGCCGACACACTTCAGCCCCATCCACATGCAGCTCATGAGGTAAACACGCTAACCGCATTACGCTAGCATGTCTGAGGCCACAGCTGTTCACACCTGGTGTTATCATGTGGTGTTGACGGGGCGTGGGGGGGTGTTAGCGCATGTCTCAAGCTCGTCTGTCGGCACTCAGGGCAGCTGAGAGCGAGACGGAACGGAGTGCAGAAAGTGAAGTATACCTGTGCCTAAGAGCGATGCGGACGTCAGATGATTAAAATATTAAATTGAATTATTATTAGGCTATTTTAATTGTATTGTAATATATTTATTAGTCAAATTTTCTCATTTTGTTGCTGTTTTTGTACGCTTTGTTTAGCTTGTGTAAAACATCTAGCCTATAATTCATTTGGCTTTTTTTTTTGCACAATAAAATATTTACTGTTTAAATTGTTCATTGAGCTGTTTTGAATGTAATTCAATTCGATGCCGGCTCAACATTGTGATGTCTGTCATCGTCTATCGGCCCAACCCTGACTCGACCTGTGATTTACAGAAAATCATCTGTTGACAGGATGTGTCTCTTTCCTGTGAACTCTTAGATTGTGCTTTAGTTTTTCTTTTTCTGTTGTTTGACCTTTCTTTTGCCCACATTATAAAGCATGTGTCAGTATTTAAGTGTTCAGCACTGAAAACAGCTGTTTCACTGCATTCAGAGAAATCACAAACTATTAATGTTAAAGATCCTGGACAACAGTGAAGGAATAAAGTAATTAAAAGGATAATATCATTGTTGATGCAAATTTCAATTATGGAACACATTCAATTTGAGCTATAAAGTTTTGTTGTGCTGTAATAGTGTCTGTCTGTGCAGCATGATCAGTGATAGTTTACACTGCAGATGTTGTTGAACCCGATTGGATCACCTGATGTTCATTCATCTGTCTGTGGTTCTGTCAGGCGTTACATCAGTAAGTGTAAGCAGAAGCAGCCGGTGGTTCCTGAGGCTCTGTCGGATTACATCACAGCCGCGTATGTAGAGATGAGGAAAGAGGCACGAGTCAGTAAAGACACGACGTTCACCTCGGCCCGAACGCTGCTGTCCATCCTGCGCCTCTCCACTGCCCTGGTGAGACACTCTCACTCTCTTTCTCTCACACTCGCGCTCTCTCTCTTTCTCTCTCTCTCTCTCGCTCGCTCGCTCAAATGAGCTTTATTGGCATGACTTGCACAGTATTGCCAAACACCAAACCT